GAAAATGTTTGGATTTTTATGTTAGTGGTAGATACGCAAGAATGAGACAAATCTGCGTAATAAACTCATTAATTGTCTTTTACTAGTCTTGGGACTAGTCAATCACCTAGAAAATTTAAGACTTGGGACATCCAAGTATTAGAGATTGAGTAATCAGTACCTTTACATGCTCATAAAAATAATCTCTGTGCTGCAAAAAGAAAGCTTGAAAGAAATACAGTGTAGAAGTAATCAAGGTCTATACTACATCTGTGAGTGGTAGAGTGCAACATGAGCAAGAAAAAAACAAGCTAGCTTTTGAGGCAACTGCATGGGTTACATCCGTCTAACCTGAGGCCGAGACAAAGCAGCTGAAACTACTGCTCTTAGTTATACCTTCACTGCATTGCTTCACAAACAGACTAAATTAAGAAATCATACTCAAGATGTCTGTTCTATAAATATCTCTGTTTTCATTTAAATGCACATGTAGCCCACTTCAAATATCTCCTGTAACAAATTGTTTAATTGAAATATGCATGGAACAGGTCAACAAAAAAGAATACCAGTCTCCAGAGAGGAATGAAGTCAGACAGGGAAACCTTCCTGAATTTTATCAAGATCTTACACTCCTTTTTTGTGCAAGTGAGTATGTAGCAGAATTAAGTATCTTGATTACATTTTGTATTGGAACTGTCTGCACTGCTTTGCTATGGTACAAAATTGAAAAAAAAGAAAAAGAGGCGACCCATTCCTTAATCTAGTAGTATATCTCGCAGACAGTTGTGTCTGCACAAGAAAGCAAAGGACAAAAAAAATAAATCACAGGAGCAGGCAAGATTACCTTAATAGTGCAGCTTATTTTCAACTAATTACAGGCTTAGATGTTTTTTTCCCAGGCCAACTAGGCAGCAATAAGTGCCCACTGGATACATTCAGTCCCAGCTGAAGAGACATGCTGCTTAAGCCTCAGAGGAGATTTCCCCACACCCACCCACCCCCCCAAAAAGGTAAAAATCTCAGGAGTTGCAATTTCTTTAAGCGCTAACTGCTAATTTATTTTGAACCATTTCCAAAGAACAGAGGATAGCCTCAATGAAGAAAAACAGGGCGTTTTGAGACAAAATTGCAGCATTATGATTTAAAGAAAACAAAGTGGAAGGGTAGGTTCCTTTATGCTTGAGTGACAAGACATGCAGATCCCAATTTTCCTTTCTGAAGAAACTGCTAGTGAAAGGGTCTGGACTGAGTATGCTAGAGGATGCAAGTACAAACAGAGGTCAATACTGTGTGTCAAACTCCTGCTGACTTCCTCACCAAAACCATAAAACAAAGTTCAGCATAACACCTTGAGCCCTACAAATTGTAGACCATTGTTTTTTTAAGTCAGACATTTACCCAGATTATTCTATTGAAAGAAGTATTCTTCCAGTTGAAGTGAGCCAGAAAACCAATCTAATTGCATTTCTATTTCTTGGATCAGAGAAAATTTGGGAACTTTACCCCAGCACTGCTTTAAGGAAAAACTGGAACTTCCCAGTGAGATAATGTAGACAATATAGACAAGCATCTTGCAAACAGCAGACTCATGCAGCAGTGCTATCATCCAAGAGGTGAAGCAACAATAACTGCCTGGGCCAAAAAATGTCTCATCTCTAGGAAGAAATTCAGCCTTTAGATCTGATATCTAGATCTTTGCTTACCTAACTGTATCATTTAATCGGAAAACTGCTTCCAACCATGAGGGAAGACCCTAAACAGAAGAGGTAGAACACATAACAGAGTACTCTGAGCAATCCTGGCAAATGCCCCAACCCAACGCTGCAGGATCAGGGCATCAGCTAGAGCAATCCTTATCACAAAATGTGTAAGGTCAAAACACAGGGCAGGTGAAGGCCAACCTAAGAGAGACCAATGCACAGCCAAAATGGGAGAAAATAATGTTAGGTGGTAATACCAAGTGTGGTCCTGAAAAGACACCCTGGGCATTAAGACACGTTTTAAAGGCTTCTGTCCTAAGCAATAGCACGGATTTAAGCTAATGGGGCAACTCTAATAGTTACTGCAAAGGGAGTGAGGGAAATCAATTAATTTAAATATGTATCACCTGCACTGAGTGGCTACACATTTTGATCTTATTGCCTTTGGGGTTTCAGTGGTTTTTAAGCTCCCGCATGGCATGATCTTTCATGACTGTCAATAGCAGACCAGTATTATTGTCTTTCTCTCTGGCTCTGTGTATGCATCTAGATAAAATAATCCTTTCATTTAAGGCACAGCAGGAATACAGCTGCTACCTCAAAATATTCCTAAACATGCCTAGGAAAGTAGCAAACCAAGAGGTTGAAACGGAAATGCTAAACATCTTCCACAAACCCCGTTCACCTTCCAACATACATTAGAAGAAAATGTGTTGGTAAGTACTGTTGGAGTCACCTACACAGGAAGCTTTCTGACTCTGCTCTGCTATTGATGGTTCATGCACTGTCCTTTTAAGTACTGAATTTCTCAACTGGTTCACCCCTCACCCACAACTGCAAACATTGTCTAAACTTCTGAAGTCTCTTTTGAAATGAAAGAATATCTTATTTTCTTTAACAAGAAGCAAAGGACAAGGGCAGAAAACCATATGGCTCTATCACATTGGTTCACAGAGCTTTCACAGAGTGGTAAAAATACGAAGAGTATTTTATTTCACTTTCATAACACAGTTCTGCTTTCCACATTATAGAAGAAACACTGAATTCTCCATTAAGACAGGTTTGTGCTTTATTTCCAGTTAATACTGCCTTTTCTTCATTGAAAGCCTTCCTTAAAAGTTATTCAAGTTTTGTTTGTGGTTGTTTTGGTTGGGGTTTTTTGGTTTTTTGTTTTGGTTTTTGTTTTTTTTAAAAAAAAACCCTTGCTTTGCAATTACAATGAAATAAACAAACTGAAATATACCGAAGCACACAGCCTTTCATTTTCTGCCTAGAAGCAGATAAATGTACACTTCATTTTATTTACCTTCCTGTCCTCTGCTCCTTCTGAAAGAAAACAAGATTTCCTTGATTCCATATCAAAGTACATTTTAGAGCTCTCAAGCAGTAGATGAAACAGCAGGAAAAAAAGTTCAACAATTAAATTCAATCTGTGAACCATCAGCAGCAGAGTAGGTGGTAGTGTTGGACAAACCAAAAAATTACCAGTGTTTCTCATCCACTTAGAAGTTCAACAGTCAGCCAAAAACAATGGGGAGAAAAAGCATCAAGCACAATAAACAAGCGGTAAGTTGAACCTTCCTAAGTCTCTAGATAAGTTCATCTGCTACCAGCCCCTATACAAGGCTTTCCGAAGTACTTCACAGACCAGGGAAAAGACAGCTCTCTAAGACCTGGGGATTTCCAAGCCTGAGACTATCTCAAAAGCTGATTCATACCACAGCCCTGTTCCTAGCACTTTTTAAGGAATGGGCAGGGCAGTTACATCAAGTGTCTGTTCTGAGAAAAAATGCCCATCCAAATTATGCTCCTTTTGCTCTAGCCAAGACACATACATAAGCATACCAAAAGGCACCACTAAGACTGTTTTGGTAAGATACTTAAGTTTTCTTTCACTGATCCAAACAGCTTGCAGATCAGATTATGCTGTAAGCAGAGTAAAGGCTAGAGTTTACCCTTGTTTTTCCTCTATTTAGAAAATTACAGATAAGTCCACCAACATGCAAAAAAAAAAAAAAAAAGACTCTGCCTATATCTCTATAAAAACTTACTCTAACATCTGTTCAAAAAACCCAAAACGGCCATTTATCCCTTCTTTCTTCCTCGTCCTGTGCCTCTCCAATATTCCCCTTCCAACAAGGGATAGTCTTTTATTTCACCAAGCCTTCCTTCAGAATTCATTACTTCTGACATGAAGACCCTTCCTTCCACATCTGTAAGTCAATAATTATACCTGCCGTTTATAGTGTGAGACATCAGGAATAAGAGAGCATTTTATTTTTCCAAAGCTAAGCAAATTGTTTATTAAATCCTCAACTCCTCCAAGATAATATGCACAAAAAGATTAAAAGGAATTAATTTGTCTACAGATCGGAAAAAGAGGTAAGTTTTCTTTCCACCCTTTGCACATCTGCACAGGTATTCTGAGAAATCCAGTGCAAGTTTTTACTTCCCCCAGTGGCCACCTCTCTATTCTTTCTGAATGCTTAGATCACAGGGTTGAACATGTGCGGTTTGTTCTACTGCACTGGTATAGTCTTCACAACACTGTTTTAAAGATCACAAAGTAAATCTAGCCACAACCATTCTGAACATTTCTAGCACTACAGTTCTGCTTCCTACATTCAAGGTCTGTAGGTTCCACTTAGTCTAGTCAGATGGGCAAACTCAAATCTCTTGCTTGCCTTCTCAGCCTTACTTGGTTTCACTCACAATGCCTCCATCACCACCACTACACTTACCAGCACTTTTCAGGGTGGAATACCTTGCTGCCATTTATCAAGTATTTCTACTGCATAATGGTAAGAAGTGCACCTGACACACAGTAGCTAAGGGCCATCTGGAAATCAGTAAACTATTAAATTCACTCTAGGTAACAATTTATGATTTGCCTTGGCAGGCAGCTAAGCCAAAGTGCTCCGAATTTGTGACCCAGCTTCATTTCAGAGAACAAAGTTATCAGCTAATCTTCAAGACTGAAATATTTCCACCAACCCCCCAGTGGCTTAGAAAATAATCTGTTATTATTCTAATGTGTTTTGTTGCTTCGTTTTGATTTGGTTTTTTTTTTAAACCCTATGGAATACTTTCTTATATACTGAAGGAAAAGTATGAACACATGCGAAATTTTCTTTCCATTCACATATTTTACAGGCTTCTGACTGACAAGTTGAACCATCCTATACCTTTCCGCCCATACCCTAAAAACCTCTTGTCAGCTTCTCTTTTTCCACACACACTTGCACAATACCATGCTACCCAGCTGTACTCCTTTACTGCTAATAGTAGTAGCTTCAGAATCAGTAGTGGGGAGGGACTTACACTGGTCACTCGACGGTAGATCTGCGCAGCATTTTGGCACTCGGAATAAGGATACTCAGACGTAGCCATCTCTAGCATACACATCCCAAAAGCATATACATCAACGGATTCATCATATTTCTCCTCATACATCTCAGGGGCCATGAACTCTGGGGTACCTTAAATTAAAAGAACGATTCAGACTCTAAATGTCTCAAAGCGAGCAGAGGCTGCTGGCGTTACTCACCGCAGGAGGAAGCAGATGGGCAGACCTGTGAGACAAGAGAAAGTGGAGGCAAAAAGAAGAGGGAGGAAACCCTTAGTCACTCTGTTGCATCAACATATTTCGTGAGTCTTCCATTGCAAGGCCTTATGGAGTAAGAATGGCATGAAAGGACAGATGCAATTCCTGGTTTATGCGTGTTAGTTAATATAAGTATCAAAACAGACTGGATCAGGCTGGAGTCAAACGGAGGGAAGGGTATAAGAAGAGGGGAAAACTGTAGACTAGCCATAGGCTACAAACCAAATACTAAGGAGAGTTAAGACACTTACCTTTTCTCCCTGTAAGAAAGGAGGCACATTAAAACTTGTTTCAAAAATTACCTGACTGCCCTCTGCTGCAAAAGAGGTAGTACTGGTAAGAGCCCACAGCTAGTCTCTGACCTGGTGCTCTCTGTCTACTTTTTGAAGTAGAATGGTTCGGGAAAGGCCTTGCAATGAAAAACTCTGTTGTTACAAATATAAATCTTCATGAAAAAAGGATAAAAAGTAATTTTCTGCAAAGGCCACTCACCAGAGCCCTTTTCTTCATATACTTACCTTCCCACCTGCAGTATATTTATAGGCCTACTGCAGATACAGGCATTAGTGAGGGACATCCTACAGTCAAAAATACTCAGAAATACAGAGAGATTGAGTTACAGGCATAGAGTGTGAGATTCAACAAGTCCCATTTAAATAGTGTGCAGAAAATTATTGCCCAGTGAAGCATCACGGTGTCCCCTCTGTAAGCCAAGGGACTGCACTGTATGATCAGATTTACTTTAAGCCAGAGATGCAAGTTTGCTTTTTGTAAATTTAAGCACAGAATTATTTCCTGCAGACACCAGATTCGAGACAGTTTACAGATCGTTCTATAGCCACATTGCTTGTTTTCACCACACTAAACCAAAACAAGAGAATGTGATTGCAGTCGTTTATCCAAAGGTTAACCGTTAACAGATAGCTAGATATGAAGTGATCATTTTCCAATGATAAATTTGAGGATAAGACTTAAGAAAATAATGCTTATGAAATGCTTTAAGAAAATAATTTCTTTTTGACATTGTATACTTTTCTTTCCTATTAATACTTTGACCTGGTTAAGAAGCAGGAAATATTTCAGCGACAGCTTGCAAGACAGTTTACAGGTATACACCATTGATCCCATCTAGGAATGTAGTATAGGACTGTTGAGTAATACTGCATTTTAGCAAGCTCTAAATACTGAGAGTGAGAGCAACTTCATTCCCTGCAGCCTATTTACCCAACTGTAAAAACAGAGCTGATAAAACCAGTTCTTTCACAAATTCACAAGAAAGACTATACTAGTTCCATCAAATCAATTTCTGAAAAAGGTTATTAGTGGATACACAAGAACAGAGCCAATATAAGGCAATACTGCCCCAATGTATCCTCCTAACTTACACAAATCCACATTCTATAGACTCCCCAAGTAAGGCATTATTTCACAGTCTGACTGTGACATAATATAAATATATTGACTTTCTTTGATATACCTTAGTTTCTGATTACTCACAAAGTATAAGAGATTTAATATTAACCCCTGGTGACAATCAAAAAAAATTGGCTGTATAATTAATGCTACACTAAATATTAAAATGTTGTTTGGTCACCAAAATGTACTTGTACAGTTCGTGAAGAAGCATCATATTAAAGCTGAGATTTATATGTAGTCAAGAGTGGTTTTATCAACAATGTTGCACTAAACTGTTGGGCAGGGCAATGAATCTATATTCCAAAATGCTTAATGATAATATACAGGTATCAAAAGCACAACCAAAATTTCAACATGTAATCTCATCAGGAACACAGAATGACCTCAACAGCCAAGAAAGAAAGCTGACGCATTTTCAGGCTTTGACAATGTACCTTTGAAACCATATTTTTAAGGAAAGCTCTTAAAAGACTCAAGTTTCCGAATAGGTAGACTGGCTCACCAGTCTCCAAAACAGGAGAGGCTTACCTATCACACTTTTGGCAAAAGAAGCTCTTTTCAGGGTTGCCAGACCAAGGTCTCCAATCTTGACTGATCCAGTGGGGCCAGTAATGAAGATGTTGTCACATTTTAAGTCTCTGTGAATAATGGGAGGAGTGCGCGTGTGTAGAAATTGTAAGCCTTTCAGTATCTGACGGCACCAGCTTCGTAGTACTTTAATTTTCATCACTTTAAATCTTTTCAAATACCTAATGAAAAAAGTAACAGTAGGTTAAACAGGTTCTGCTAACAAGTAGTAGATTATGCTGTATCATTTGCTGTTCTGAAGTTAAAAAAAAAAACAACAAACAGTAATTAGAGATGCACAAATTTCAACTTCACCTTCTATTTTAAAAATCTACCTGGGCATTTCAAGACTTCAGAGGAGCTAAAGATAATACCCCCTCCTAAAACCTACCCCCTTTCTTCTAGCCAGGGGACGATAATGCTGAAAGATAAACATGAAATACTTGATCTATAGCTAATAATTCTTTTGCATACAAAGTCACCCTATGGTAATTACCTATGGTAATTAGAGAGTTGGCTTGCTAAGTTTCAAGAAACTGCTTCCTTGACAAAGAGTTAAAGGCTTATGCATTATAACAATTCTTTATTCATTTATGAGGGTTTTTTCTTCCCTTTTATCCTGAAACTGCTTAAACAGTTAAAACATTTTCCTTGATTAAATATAACTGGGTGGGGGGAAGGTGGGGCACTGGAGCCAAAACACTAGTAACAACCAACTAAGTACAGAGCTGTTGCAAACTGTGCAAGAGCTCTGAAGTTGTTATACCTTAGTTATCACTATTAGTCCAAGCACTCTGGTCAAGGTTTCCAGGTTACACTTCAAGTCTCCTTCAAATTTACTTGTTGAGTTCTCAAGCAAATTAAGAAATTCTTAAAGACCACTTCCTTGGTGCAGGACAGGGTTTGATCACCTAAACCTGACTGGCACTACTCACTACTTCAGAACTATGGATAGATACGGACAGGGCTGGGAAATCTTTAAAAAGGCTCTGCTAAATAATTGACAAGGAAGAGTTCATACATGAAGTCAGTATCCCTTTGCAGGTAGAATGTGACCCAATCTTAATTGTTCTAACATTGCTGCTTTTTAAAATCTCATGTCAGAAGAGTCAAATTTCATACCAAAAATACTCTCTAATGCTTGTGGCCTAAGACTATGGTGGTCTTCTACTCCTTAACTTCAACAGATTAGAGATGCCACAAAGTGAATAACTTATGACAGTATTCAAGTGCTTTCCAGCAGTGTATTCTCACAACCTCTCTTTGGGTAAAACAATTTGAAGTGAACAGTTGTTGTTTTCTTCCTTTTGAAAAAGCATGGGCTGAAATACATTTAGAGAAAGGAACTAGCATGCTGTGTAGAGCAAGGACTTTATTCTTATTCAACTAATGTTACTCAGTTAAAGTCTCAGATAAAGACCAGTTTCACACTACTGCAATACTGGTAGTAAATTCTACGACCAGCACGGAGTCTAGCAACTAAAATAATAAAATAAAACCAAGTCTTGTTCAATTACTCCGTGGTAGTATTCAGTCTCTTCTGCATATCCACTTAATCAGGAGAAAGAGTCTTGATGAAATCACTTGAATCAATGCCAACATAAAAATGCAGTATATTAATCCCTTTAATTTCTGCAGCTCAAAAGAAGATCTGGAAAAATCAAGTTGCTAGCAATAATCCTGCTGTGAAAACAGATCTGTAAAAGCAATCAGGACCCAGTTCCAGAAGGAAATCAAGTCTCAAAACAAAATGTAAAGACAGGCAGTGAAAAAGCCAAGCCAACAAAGGAGACAAACCGAAGGAGGTTCTGAATCACATCAGCTACCACTTGAATTCTTGCTATTGACACAACCCTCATTCATCTCTCTTGAGCCTGTTCCAAAGATCACATGGTAGGGGCACTTCAGTTCAGCATCTGGAATCCCTAATTACATTCTTGGTTTCAAATATGCTAGTCTACTGCCAGCTTCTCACTGTTAAAGGACCTGGGTCCAACCATCACCCAGCATCCTGCAGCGTTGCTGTCGTTTTTCCCGTAACACTGTCATGAACTAAGTCACATAGCACTTAAGGCAGAAACCATTTTAAAATGGAAGCATATATAAATACATAAAAATACACAGATAACCCTACTAGCTAGTATGTTTTCAATTTTCCTTGTATCATAGGATAACTCAGGCTTGAAGAGACCTCAGGAGGTTTCTAGTCTAAGTTTCTGCTCAAGGTAGGGTCAGCCATGAAGTCAGACATGGTTACTCTGGGCTGTATCCAGCCAGGCTTTTAGTATCTCCAAGGATGGAGCCTGCACAACATCTTGGGGCAACCTGCTCCACTGCCTGACTATCACTGCTGAAATAGCTTCTTCTTACATCAGTCAGAACCTCTTTGGTTTCAATTTATGCCTGTTGTCTCTAACTCTCCCACCATACACCACTGCAAAGAGCCTGACTGACTCCCTCATATGCCCTGGAAGGCTGCTGTTAGGTCTCCACCAAAGATCCTCTTCTTCAGGATGACCAAGTCCAGTTCCCTCAGCCCCTCCTCACAGAGCAGGTAACTCCAGCACCTGACCATCTTGGTGGCCCTCCACTGAACTTGTTCCTGCTTAAATCAACATCGTTCTTATCTATTTTACAGGGTAGTAGTCAATTTTAAAAAAGACATATATTTGACCTTTGCACACAAGGCTATCTTAACAGTTAGCTTCAATGAACAGAGAGAAACAGGAACTAGAGTTTGGCTTTCTGTCTCAAGGTTGGGTTTGTTGTTTGGTTTTTTTAAGCAGGAAGGCTGCTGACCTATAGCATCTCAGCTCGAGGAGTTATAGAAACCCTGCTAAGTTAGCAGAGGTAGTTATGAAGGTATGTGTCTTACCAGATAGCTGACACATTCATTTAAAGTGGATCAGGAACACACACTATAACAGCCTTAGACAAAACTAGTGGCTGAGACCTAGGTCAGATTAAAAATTGCTGTCTTCATTAATAGTATAATTAAGATTTAAAATAGACAACTTCATTTTTTTGTTCCAATATTTTAATTCCATGATAGCATACAATATCAGAAAGCAGTTTAATTCTTTACAACAATTGAGTTGTAAAACTTTTCCATTGGTGTGCAGAAGTTCAGGGACTTTTCTTTGTGCAAAATTAGCAATTTGCCTAGACAGCATTTGAAAAGAATGAGTCCACAATATTTCAACATTATTTTTGTGTTCATATATATCTAAATGTATAAAAATATGAAAAAACATGAGGAAGAACTTTAAGATATCACCACACTTTTCTTCTGTTCACTTTTTTTACATCAAGTGACAACAATGTCTATGTCCCAAGTCTCAAAACAAGGAAGGTAACACTTGCATTAAATGGAGATAATGTAAACATACTGAAAAAAGATATGGAAGTAATAGTCAGCCAAATATCATAAGCAAACACAAGTGTGCAGTCTAAATCTAGGAATATGACACAGGCACATGAACTATTTCATGATATTAAATTTGGCACATCAGAAATTTCCCATAGAGTTTACCTGTCAAGTCTCAAGTGAAGCAGGTAAGAATAAACTACATCACAATTATAACACAATCTATACAATAGTGGGGAAAAAAACCTACACAGAAGTCTACAGTTTAAAAGATTTTAAATTAAAGAGCCTATTAGTTCTTTCTGGATAAAATAAAAAGACCTTCATACTTCAGCGTACAAAATAATCCTGTAGCCAGCAAATCTGGGGTATTTCTCCTACCAACACACTATTTTATAGTTGTCTATTATTACTTTATTATCTTGCTTATGCCACCACATAACAAGCCAATCCAAATATTAAAATTTGGGGGGGGGCATAAGAAAGGGAGAAAGAAGTTAAATCTAACACTACATACTCTAGCATAAAATTAGGTAACTTTATTTAAAGGTATCTGTAAAGAGCTGTAAAACCTTTACTTTAATACTGCTCTTAAAAGAGAACATGAAACAACAGATCTATTATTTTATCTGAAATACCTTAAACAACCTCAGAAAAGTCTTTCCTAGACATACGGCTAAAACAGTACCTTTAGCCCTCCGGTACTATTTCAAGAGACAAACATTTCCCAGTAATTGCAGTCCAGACTCCAAAAGAGCCATTTTTTCCTTCTTTAAGTATGTCCATTTGTGGCTATCAATAAGCATCGTAAAAACAGAGGACGTTCACAGGCTATTTAACCAAATAGATTGCAAATTGTTTCCAGCTCCTACAGCCTGCTTACACATTTAGGATTTGAATGACTCTCCAAGACTTAAATGGGCACTGAATTAAGACAAGGACCCACAATCCCTGAATTTCAAAGGCTGGCAGTTCTATTTCCAGTAGATTAACGGCGACTGGATGCTCAGGAACAGGCTCACAGCTCTGCAAGTTTCTACTGTGCAAGGCAAAGCCGTGATTTCAGTGTAACTCCCCGCAGGCTCCGCACACCACTAGAGGGCCCTCGCAGCAGTCTGATCTGCCGGTGTCTACTTTTAACTCTGGCTTAAAAAATAGACCTCGTTTCACTCAACTACTTCACAAGTTGAAATTGCAGGCATCTGCATACTTTCAGATTTTTGTTAGGTACTACTTTGTGAAGTTTCAGCTAAACAAGTAGGTGGTAGAGGTTTTTTTTATTTTTACATATTATTTGTGCTGTAGTAACGCCCAAAACCTGCTACAAGAGGTGAATTCATTTGTGCTTTGAACTTCGCAAACCAGCTCATGCTAAATGGAAAGCAGCTGGAGAGGAAAATGAAAAATTCTGAAAGGTGAAAATAGAGCATTGTCTTCCTGAGCCCTGAAAATCTGAAAGTTTTATGCATGTGCTTACTAGGACATCACAAGGAAGAATCTGACAACCTTGCTAACTTAAAGGATGTTCTACCATGCCTACCCTGCAGTGCTAGTAAGACTCCTCTTAAACAAGAATTTCCCTACAGAAGGTTAGCCCTCAGCAAAAGGGCTCTGTTCTTATCTATTCTGAAATATGATCTATTTCTAGTCCTCTGATTTTGTGTTAATGATTCTTATATGCTTTGACATGCCTTAATTTACTTACGTTTTCAATGTTCCAGATGTCATGAGTTCCGTCACAAGAACAATACACTTTTTTCCTTTGACTGTAGACTCCCAGGAATCATAGAACCTGACAATATTGGGATGCTGAAGTCCTTTCAGCATCCCAGCTTCCTCTTTAAATCTTTGTCGCTCTGACTTGGACAGCTTCCGATCCTAATAAAAAAGAAAAGGTACATCAGAACGCTTTGCTTTATTTCTTACTCAGAGAAGCAGCAACTTGAAAAACAGTTGGGTACAGTCAGTGAACAAGTAAGAATCATCAGCCTGAAACACCATTTGGTTTGCAATTACCCTTAAATACTCTATTTAGAAGACATTCTATTACAGTCTTTTTTATCATATATTTTTCCTTACAATCTGATTGCTCTCAGAGGTAAAAATTTTAAGTCTGTAGATTATCTCCTCTTCCTGTTTCCTCCTCCCCTTCTCTAATAAATTTAGTCATTGCCTGACCTGAGGTGGAAGGGAGACATAATGTCTTCAAATATTCAAGTGTTTAAGAGTAGACAAAATTGGATCATTTAAAGCATCTCTCATGTTGTACATAAAAATCTTTAGTTATTCCTATGTGTATAACATCCAGACCACTGGTAACAGATGGGATTAACCCTTTGTATAGGGGTAGAGCATCAAACCTCTCTAACATATAGTATGTACTTGTAACTGTAGAACAAGTCAGTGAGTTGGATTTTCTTTGATTAAAAGCATGACCTCATGATTGAGCAAGTTTCCTGTAATCTAGCATCAAGGAAAATAAAAACATAACTCACACTAGAGACAGCAAGCTTTTGGCCAGAAACAGATCACGAAAAAGCATTCTTGGACAATACTGTTGTATTATCTACCAACAACTGGCTATCAGACATCGTCAAGACTCTGAGCAACTATTACCAGAATAAGCTGCACATCTCAAGAGAAAACAGCCTCTTTGTGCCATTCAGTGTTCTCAGCTTACCAATGCATTACCAATGCACTGGTACACAAGTCAGATTGATCAACTGACATAAATTGGATCCATATGCAATTTGTATTTAGAAAAAAAAATTCAGGATATAATACTTAAAGCCTGACATTTATTTAGGAATAACCAGTGACCTCTTTGTGAAATCTGAATAATAATTTTAAGTCACTTCATTTCGTATTTCCTTTTCAATTAAAAGGAGGTAGTAAAAACACGCAGGGTTTACTTATACTGCTCACAACCTCCCTACTGTCCTCCAGGCAGTAATTCCTCTTCATTTGTTTACAGGTAATGTGTTTTCTCAACACCATTCAGCCATGCTGGTATCTAAACCACCCTATATTCACTTACATCATTAAACCTTTCTAAGAGGTTCACAGAGTATCTTTGGGCATGGACAAACTTCATTTCCAGATGAAGCTCCAATTATCAGAAGTGTAAAAGTCTTCCAGGTGAAAGTTTGAAAACGGGTTTGAAATTACCTCAGGGATCACTATATTACCAGTGCCTACGAATGTCAATCACACACATACTTTTACAGTTCTTAGGAAGATACTAAATTCTCAATCCTCGCAAATTTAGTCTATAGACATCAAAAGCATTCAACCCTGCAGCTATTTCACTCTGCAGAAATTAGCACTACCACCTCTTCTCGCTCCTTCATAAGCATACTTGCACAAACAAAATTCAATATAACATGTCTGCAGAAACACTCTGCAAACATTAAGTATTCATGTCTCTTTAGGTGTTTTGGTTTTTTTTTAATATGGAAGTCATACTTCCATTTGAGCTGTCTTACCCATCTAATCGCTTTCTTTCCATTACAATAAAGATGGCAGCACAAGTTCTGTTCAAAACCAGTTAATCTTGACTGCTACAAACAGCTGTGATGCAGAACAGCAGTGAGCTGCAATAGGTACATCAGTCAACAGACCATACATACATGCTTCTAAGAAACACTCAATGCTTCAAGCAATAGAAAAAAATCACAATAATATAATCATTCTTAGAGTAAAATAAAGCAGAGTCTTCTCAGCCTCTGCATTTGATCCATACAATACACATTTTAAAACTAGTGTATAGCTGTAAATCCAATTATTATATATGGTCGTTATAAAAACAAGGCTGCAACAACTACTTTTATACCACTTTTAAATTTAGCTACGTAATATAAACACCTACATTCATTTTTGTCCAAAACCTAGATTTTAGCTACACATTTGGATTAAATTCCCTTTATTTTGTGCATTCTAACAAGTTATCCACCACAAACATTACTAGCCAGTTTTAGACTATACTTGACATTAAGGTCTCATCTTAATCTGTGTAAACCTAATCTCCCTTAAGGGCCTTACTCTGTTTTCCCTACCACTGTACTACTAGCCCCAAATAGAAACTAACAAGTGCTAATCACTCTTATCAATGAACAGACTCTTAACGGCCATGCATGCGTATTTTGACTCATTTCTCTTTCTGGTCACATCAATGGTAGCATGGTGTTCCTGCAAACATATCTGTGACGTTTAAAACAGACACTCAACACTTCAATGCTGGCGTTAAAAAAAAACAAAACAAAACACCAAGACAGTGACAATATACTAAGTAATTCAACACTTCTTTGAAAGTCACAGTGCCCTAATGATCTGGGACAAGTTTGGACACAAACACAGGCCAACAAATTTCACCCAGAGAAGACAGCTACGTTTTTGCAACCAAGGAAACATCGCACCCTTCAGTAGCATACTGCAGCAGCAAAAGTGAACATTAAACAGAGCTGTAAGATAAAGACAAGAGAGGCCACTTGTTTCGTAAGACTAGTGATGCATGCTACCTTTAACTACCTTCATTTTCTTGGATACACAACCCATACACTCATCTGTAAGTTTTTTTTATATTCTTTCCCTAAAAGAACACTAATGCTAGGTAACAGAAAAAGGTGAATATAATTTAAAAAAAAAAACTACAACCCTACCATTTAGGAAAATATTAGATCTCATGTACAATTATACCAAGAAAGTGAATCTGTACACACAATGACTGGTTATACTTGTACAAACTACATTCTAATGCAACATGCAAAGAGTTAGCCTACAAGGTAACATGTGATTTAAAACTGACAAGTACACTTTCAAAACTTGAGTATTCCATACACCAGAACCTTAAAACATGTTAGACAGTAAGATCTCCCAGACTGCATAGAGATGAACTAAAACAAAGCCCATCCCAAATAATATATTTTGGCATCCTTTGAGCTGTTAGTATGGGCAAATGTGACAACTTCATGCTCTTTCTTGTACAAAGATGCAATTTAAGCAGCTGCAGCTACTACAATATTGAGATAAGCAAGAAAATAGAGCACCCTATGTAATTTGGGAGACTGAGAAATGGTGCTACCAGCCACATTAGGTATGAATACTTGGGGAAAGGCAGGGGAATGAGAACATCTTCATAACACATGAAATCCACACAAAAAGTTGCTGTACAGCAGAGCTGTAGCAGAGAGAAAGAAGTCATCATCACTTCATGAGAATTTATAAGAGCATTTTTCAAGAATTTGGGAAGGGGGCAGCTTTCAAAATCCTCAGTTATAAGTATATACCCCAAGAGACTCAAAACCCCAGATGTGTCTTCCCAACAAGGCAGCTACTTGGGGCAATACCGAGATTCCACAGTGGCCTTTGAGCAGGAGTCTGCAGGAATGTAAGACCCTCAGGCTCCACCTCCACCGCTAAAGAGGTAGCAAAGAGTTTGTGGCCTATCATTCAAAAGATGCACTCCATTTGATTAAATTATCTCGAGGGTGAATCAAATAAGCAGATCTATCCCCTGCAGCCTTTTTCCTGTAACTCACAGTCTAAATAGGTATATAGATGGATCATTTCAGCATTTATTTGCTGTTTGCATCTGGAAGCAAAAATAGAGATTTTGTAACTTAACATTCCAGTATCACAAAGTATAAGATTGGTTAAACAAGTTTAATGTTTTCTTTGATTTTTATTTTATATTTTTAAATCAAACAGCCAGAAACTAAACAAAATAGAAAGACACATAAGATGCTTTTTTGTAAACCTGGAAAACTTGAACAATTTTATAAAGAAGCCACCACTTTAACAGCAGTTAATAATATACGGCTTGATATTCTATCCTTCAAAGACCAATTTGTTTTGGAATTCCTACTAATAAAATTAAAAAATGGACACCCTGTCTCCTCCCCCAGTCTTTTTTTTACCATAATGAAGCAACCTTAGGCAGACAAGACAGAGTCCTAAGTCTAGAAGTTTGCAAATCACATTCTTGTATCTCAGTTAGCAGCACATGCTGAGCAGATACAGCCCAAATATTTGAAAATATACAAAGCTGTTAAACTGTAGGAGAGCTTGCTTCCTAAAATGGATTTAACTATCCTATAAAATGGCCAGCATTGTTCTTCCTGAACTGATAGCTTCCCTAGAGGACTTAAGTGTCACATCCCAATCACTGGGCTGCCCGTCGAACAAACTGAAACAGATGCATCAAGCCCACTCCGTTCATTTCATTCATTCCTTTCCACCTACACTAAATTGTTTTGACAAGCCAGGACAAACAGCAAGGCCTTCCAGCACGTGACCCGCAGTTCTGCAGTGCCAGGGGCCTGAACAGAGACAGGCAGCAAGTGAAACAATTGTTCAGCTCAGAGAACAATTCAATAAGCTTTTCTTGGTCGTTTCCATTTATCCGTGTACTTCCCCTCCGATTTCTTTTGGTCAGGAAAGACCTATCGGAGGTGTTTACATTATTCAATGTAAAACAGGGATCCTGGTCATTCATGATAAACCAGGTAGAGGCTTACTCTTTCACTAATGGAGTTCATTTACAGGAGTATGAATTACACACAGAACTGTTACAACCCTCTTTCAATCCCTGTACCTAGGTGCCTTATATAAATGCAAAGAAACCCATCCCAAAACCAAAACAACCCCCCACCCCCAAGATTAGCTATTATACCAAGCCACAAAAAACAAAGCTCATCAGCAAAAAATGCCTATATTCCTTTGGTGATTTTTTTCAGCCAAGGCTTAATATCTATTCAGCAGCCTTAATGAGGAAAGAAAATACATTTCTGGCACCTAAAATAATCTTAAATTTCAACTAGGTTGCTCATATAGCCATTGAGTCTACTGAGTAATTTCTCATACATTTTTCTTTCTAACTT